CTTTATTTGATTCTCTTCTTTGGCCTAGCATGACTGATCCCTTATCCAAGGACTGATCCCTTCTGAGAAAATGCTCAAAGCATGTATAAGCTGAAGATTCACTATCCTTGCTTCTAAGATGCACCCTGATTGCACTTTCTCCCAGACTGATTTGTTTGTTCTTTTGGCAGCCCGAAGTATATTCAATCCTTTTACTCAGCATCACAGTTCAAAGGAATTTACTCTTCTTTGGCCACCTATATGCACTGTGCAGCTTTCAGTTGTATAGGAAGCAATTGAAAACAGTTTGCCTTGAATGAGGCATACTTTAGTCTCTAACTGGGCATCCCTGCACTTGACCACTTTGGATGGGGTACTTGACATCAGATTTTCCCAGTGCAACACGGCTTCATTTCTTGATGGTCACTACAATGCATGCTGATTGTGAGGCCAAGTTTATTACCATCATGATAACTTTTATTGGAGCTTTATTGTGTCCTTGGCATTACCCTAAATGATTCATGCATATTATCTCGTTTAGTCTTCACACAACCTTTTCAGGTAAGTACTATCTTCACTTTAATGGTAAAGAAACAAGCATAGGTCCTTAATTGCATAAGACCACACATAGTTTTTAAACCCACACGTTCTAATTCAAAGCCTGCTCTCCTAATTGCTACACCACCATATGCATCTGAGAGCTGGACAATGATTGATGATGACAGAAGAAGAATCGATGCCTTTGAGTTGTGGTGCTGGACAAGAGTTTACGGAACAGAATTGTGGAGTGACAAGGGAACAAATAGGTCTGTCCTAGAGAGGGTGGAATCAGTTTTCTTATTTGGAGGCAAGGATGTTGAAGCTCTGTGTCACACATTTAGGTCATGTTGCCAGGAGGGACCAAACCTTGGAGAAGAAAATCATGGTTGGAAAGGTAGAGGGTTGTGCAGAAGAGCAAAACCCTAGATGAGATGGATTGACACCGTGACTGTGGCAATGAGGTTAAGTGTGTCCGAGATGTGAGGTTGGCTCAGGATAGGGCAAGGTTCAGAGCCATTGTTTATAGGGTTACTCTGCACCTTGGTTGACTCGAAAGAACATGACAACAACATACATAACATAGGGAGCTCTGCTGTCCTAGTGAGTAAGGAGTTGCACTGCCAGCTCAGAGGCATGTGTTCCAAATCCACCAGCTTCTCC